GGCCGATTTAAAGGGCCGGCAGTGCGAGAGGGTGACAGCGGCCGATTTAAAGGGCCGGCAGTGCGAGAGGGTGACAGCGGCCGATTTAAAGGGCCGGCAGTGCGAGAGGGTGAGAACGGGCGGTTTAAAGGGCCGGTAGCACGAGAGGGTGAGAGCGGCTGGTTTGAAGGAAAGGCTAAATGGCACCATGTCAACACAGACAATTCTAGATGAAATAAAGCAGCCTCTGATCTGTGAAACGCAGGGTTTCCTGAAAGGCATGTTCATCAGCCAGGTCAGCAGCGATCAAGCATGCAGGCTCCCCAGAAGGCTCTGGCTGAGTCATGTGTCCTGCCACCATCTGTGCGCTCCCCCTCCTTCTTCTTCAGCTTATTCCTGGAGTTATCCACAGAAAACTGCCCCTATTCACTTTCAGGTCGTAATGCTGAGATATTTCAGGTGTCCGCCCCCCCACTTGCCGCTGCCCTCTGACCTCTCCCTGGCCTCTACTTCTTCCCCACCCAGGCAAGCCCCAGCAGGAGAACAACACGATCGACACGGGCGAGGTGGACGTGGGCCGCAGGGCAGTGCAGGACGTGCCCCCCGGCGTCTTCTGGCGCTCGCAGCTCTTCATCGACCAGCCGCAGTTCCTCAAGTTCAACATCTCCGTGCAGAGGGATGCGCTGGTGGGCGTCTATGGGAGGAAGGGCCTGCCACCATCACATACGCAGGTACGTGGTGGCAGGGGGGCATGTGTCAAGGGCAAGGGTTACCATGGAGACTGCATGTTTATATTTACATTAAACATAAAACTGCATATTAAGCGTCGGAGGTGTGTAGTACCGCGGATTATGAAGCTGCATGCCTCCAGAAGGTTGTGAGTTCAGATCGCAGTAAACATTAGCCTTTTAGACCATTTGGTTATATTGGTCCCTTAACCCAAATTTCTTTGGGGACGTTGGCTGACCCTGTTCTCCGATCCTCCTTTGTGCATCTTCTAAATAAATAAACGTTAAGTGCCACTGGCTCCTAAATTTATATTGAAGGACCTCAGCCATCCAATCAGCTGGCCTTCAAACCCATTAGCAGCAGAATCAGGTAGTGCATGTGAAATATTATACATAAAAGGTGGCAGAGTGTGAGGGAGTCTGGGCTCTGAACAGGTGCCTTCCAGGATCGCAGATCCAGCATGTCTATCTGACAGCTGGCAAGGTCGCCGTGACAAGGTCACATGCAGGACCGGCGTTTCACAGGGCGGCAGCTTCATTTAACAGAATTAATTGGTGACAAGCGTCAGCATGACGCAGGTCAATATGTGATGGTAAAGCTGAGAATCATCCCTTTAATTGCGGTGGATGAATCAATGCACATCTTTGAGGAGGCACAGGGAGCATTGTGGGGGCATCGACAGCAGCACCATGTGGGCGATATTGGAGTAAATTCCTGTTTTATTTCTGAGCGCGCCTCGACACTGGCCATCAGAGACATCACGCTCAGCAGCCCCGGTCTCACAGACACGGGAAGGATTTTGTTGACCTCTGAGGTAGACAGCAGATTTCCTCAAGGCTTCAATTTGGAAGCTGGCATAGAATATCTGCTCTGTAAATACCAGTCGTATCGAGCGGCTCCAAATGGGCACTTGGACGGCTGAGCAGGTCTGGCTTTCTTACCAGTAAATTCACTGGTTCAGCTGATTGATCGGCACAGGCTCTCTCTTCTGTCACACACCAAAAAATATCTGGGCACAAAGGCAGGCTGGAGCAGCGGCTGTCTAAAAACCTCATTTGAGAGCGATTGAATATTGTAGGATTAGAGGCAGAGAGATCTCCAGGAGAACATGACCCAGCCTGCAGCGCCAGGCCCCCCTTCCACATTCCCCACAAAGGCTTGCTGTCGGGAGTCTGATGGGGGTCCGAGGGCTCCAGCCTCGAGGTCGTGCTATCCCAGATGGTGATGCTGTCACGTCCCTCTCAGAGACTGGCTCTCCTCTTGGGCAGTAGTGCCCATTTTCTGGCTTTGTGACGCCTTGCTGTTAGAGGCTAAACAAACCCAAACGAGTACCGCCCAGGGGCGGACGCACTTCGCGAGGTACAGTCAGCTCTGTGGACTAATGGACCAACCGGCTGACCTCACAGTACGACTTCGTGGAGCTCCTGGATGGCAGCCGGCTGATCGTGAAGGAGAAACGAGGCCTGGCCGAGCCAGGGGGCAGGGGCCGCAGGACACGCTCCATCAACATGCACGAGGCCGGATTCATTCAATACCTGGACTCGGGCACCTGGCACCTGGCCTTCTACAACGACGGCAAGAATGTGGAGCAAGTGTCCTACAGCACCATCGTCATCGGTGAGCGCCGGCGGGCTCTCGGACGGGGGGCGGCGGGAGGGGTCGGATTACAGCTCCAGACGGAGGTAGAGTAATGGGCAAGGCTTTGCAGGCTCCAGCTCAGGGCAGTGGAATCGCGTGATTGGGCTTGATGAAGCCCTCTCAATGTGCATTACCTCAGTTACACTTCATTGACATTTTCCATCCTGTTCAGAGTTTTGTTTGAGCAAACAAAATTCCTCAATCTGAGTTTGAGTTTGAGTATCGGGGACTTTCCAGGGAGGTCTTTCAGATCTGACATCAAAGCACTCCGAGACAGGCTCCCACCGCGGCCTCGTCTTCCGCTCTCACTGTCTAAGCACCGTACCCCCACCCAGAGCCCCCATCCAGCCCGGGTGCCCCTCAGGCTAGTGAGACCCCGGTAGCCATGAACCATCCCGCCAACCCACACACCCCTCCCAGTTTAATTTAAACATTAAACTTTGCAAAACAAGCAGTTTTACGGAAGAGCCTTAGATGGTACATCAGAAAGTGTCTGCTCTTTACCTTTAGAAATTAAAATTGATTAGTGGCCCCTGGGGGCCCCGCGGCCTCATAAGCATCGAACCGTGCTGCCTTGGTAAGACCCCACCAGCTACCACCCCGCTTTATTGCCATGCCAGGACTGCGGGGCTCTGCTACTCCCTTTGTCTGCCTGCTAATGAAATTATTGATGGGTGATGTCATAATCGGCCGACTTTAAACACCCGCTGAAACGTCCGATATGTCCAGGGGGCGGGGGGGGGGGGCAGGGGGCAATAACAAAGCGGACCTTCGGCCCTCTCTCTCGCCCAAGCGCCCCCTCTACCCCCTCTCCGACATCGATTTTGATCAACAGTGTAAATGAAAAATGAGCGCGTGGGTGGGTTTGTCGGGAGGTGGGGCGTGGATGATATTCACCACGGCGACGGAGGCCCCGCGCTCACACACACGCCGAGACAGCACGTCACGTGCCAGGGACAGAGACGTGTCACACGTCGCTCCTTTCGCTCAAGCCTGGAAAAAAAAACCCAAAGAAAAGGGAGGAAAATAACACCATTTTGCCGACGATTAATGACCATCTAGCCCTGTGAGAAAGAGAGGTTTAGTCAGGCTGCCAGCTGATAATTGGTCATAACAATTTGTTGATTGGTTCATTACGGGGAGCCGAGAGGCGCACGCTCGCCTTAATCAAGCATCTGGCACCAGCTTAATTAAAGATAGGGGAGCGGGATCTCAGAAAGCAAAGCGGGGGGCGTTAAATCAGCCTCTCCATTAGTGCTGCATTCACTTGTGTGTCTGTGTCTGTGTGTCTGTGTCTGTCTGTGTGAGCGGGTATACCTTACCTTATGGAGACAAAAAGTCCCCACAACGTGATGAATACCTGTTTTTTTCCCTTATGGGGACCAGTTTAATAAAAATCTGTGACTGCAATGAAAAAACTAAAAATGCAAAAACTCTTGTATTTTGCTTGGTTACTTGGTTATGGTTATAGTTAGGGCTGAGTAGCGGTTAAGGTTGTCAAGGTTAGCGTTAGCATTTTTCCCATAGAAATGAATGAGCGGTCCCCATAAAGATATGTGTACTTGATGTCTGTGTGTGTGTGTGTGTGTGTTTTCCCCCTCAGAGTCCGTCATGGAGTGTCCTCACAATTGCCATGGAAATGGAGACTGCCTTTCTGGGGCGTGTCACTGTTTCCCAGGATTCCTGGGCCCCGACTGCTCCAGAGGTACGAGTTTCCCTGGCTCTCACTCTCCCAGTTGCCCAGCTTGGACGCGCTCATGCTGATGACACTGTCACCCTTCTCCCCACACCCGCCGCAGCAGCCTGTCCCGTGCTGTGCAGTGGGAACGGGCAGTACTCCAGGGGGCGCTGTCTCTGCTTCAGCGGCTGGAAGGGGACGGAGTGCGACGTGCCCAGTAACCAGTGCATCGACGTCCACTGCGGGGGCCACGGGCTCTGCATCATGGGGGCTTGCGTCTGCAACACGGGCTACAAAGGGGACAACTGCGATGAGGGTGAGCCCCACCCTGCCCCCTCTCTGTTCCCTAACCCCCCCATTCGGCCGACACATTCACCCCCCAGTGCCGTGCATTTTCTGTATATTTACCGACTGAATCACTTCCTAAGTCCTCCGTCTGGAGAGCTTCAGGTGTTGCTCGTCAGACAGCCCTCCCTCCTCCCTCTGGGGGGCGTGGGGGGTCTTCAAGGCCTCTCCCGCTGCCTAATGAGGAGCTAGCGTGCCGCACCTGCCGCATGCCACCCACTTTCTCCGGGATTACTCCGCGCTCGCTGGCTCCGTTACAGTCATTCACTTCCAGTTAATGGCTCAATATTCCACAAACAGTCGCAGTTTTCTACTTAGCAGAGCAAATAATTGCATCGATGTCCATATTGATATACTGGTTCCTCTCGACCCAAAGTCCTGTTTTCGTCAGGATCACAACTTTCGGACCAGAATGGATTTTCTGTGCAATTAGTTAACATCCGTTTTGTTTTTTATTTTTTTTTATTTTTTTTTAAATAGATCATTCTCTCATTGTTGAACATTTTTGGCATTCTTCCCAATCTGGGAATCCCTTACCTTTGGTTCTCAATAAAGCAGATTTTATTGATTTGCTTTGTTAAGAGATTAATACATTTAGGTCCTTGGAACTGTTCTTCTTCCAGATAAAAAGTTATGGATTCAGCTGAGCGATTAGACCTGCCCTTTCTGGGTCTCTGTCCCTAACGGTGTGTCTGTCGGGAGACCGGTCATGCTTTAACAGGGATGCCGCCACTCTCGTTCAGACTAAGAGTACAGGTTAGGTTTGGTGTGCGCCCCCTGCTGGGCATCACCTTAACCTCGCTCAGCTCCGCTCACTGCGTCTCCACCCTGCTCTCCCTCAGTGGACTGCCTGGACCCGTCCTGCTCAGCACACGGTGTCTGCCTCCACGGCGAGTGCCACTGCAGCCCAGGATGGGGCGGCTCTAACTGCGAGATCCTGAAGACCATGTGTCCAGACCAGTGCTCAGGCCACGGTACCTACCAGGCTGAGAGCAGCACCTGCATCTGCGACTCCAACTGGACCGGGTCCGACTGCTCCGTCGGTAAGAGCTCCCCCCCCCCTTACGAAATGTAGCGCTTGTACTGCAGTAGACCTGAAGCTGCCTCGCTAGGTCCGTTTTCCGGTGAGCCGCACACCCGCTAATCACTTCTTGCTCTTTATTTTTTTTGTGCTTTCTCCCCCCTCTGTGTTCCTGGAAGCCCCTTCTGCTCCTCGCAGCGTTAAGCGGCTGCCATCGTATTGCATCAGATATTTTCAGGCGTTTGTCATATTTTCTGGAGGCTATAAAAATCCTTTATTCGTTCTCTCTTCAACAAGTGGGCCATAAAACGTTAAGTATGTGGGCTGGGGCAGGGAGGGGGGGGTAATGTGAAGCGGGGCCCTGGCGCTGGGTCTTGTGGCATGGGCACAGTACATGGAGGACTCGACGGGAGCGCTCGTCTTCTCCATGATGCCGCACCATAACGAAGCCATTTTTCACCCAGAGTGAAGCACAGAGGCCACACCCCCTTTAGCCACCGCCACAGCTACTGAGACGATGTCAAAGCCACCCCCCCGCTGGCCCCTCCCAGTCGCTGGGTGGAGAGACTCCTATTAATTAAACGCCGTGATTCAGCCTCCCGTTAACCGCACTTTAATTAATAAACAGCGTGGTGTGCCT